CTGTGGCTTAGAAATTCAATTGGATCAAGCGATACTACGGAATCAGGGTAACGTAGTAATTATTTATGTGCATCACCTTCACGGAAAGATATACCGCTCGTGGGATGATCTGACCTGACCTCTCGGGATACTTGCCCGACTTGCCATGAGAACAACTAAGTCCCGTGATTGAGGTAGAAGTGGTGGGATTGCCAGCAGTCCCGTTGAGAAGACGAATGACTTGCATAATTGGTTGGGTTTTTATTGCAGCTGTAAACGTGATGACATTATTGGTTTTTTCTAACTTATGTTTATTTGTAAGCAACTTTTTTCATGTATCAAAGGGTGAGAGGGTTAAACATAAGTTTCATTGCTGTACGTACTTCTAGCTGCACGTTACGTTCCAAAGGTTCTGTCCACGGTTACTAATTATTAGATTCACGCAAAGGAAACTCTGCCTTTCACAAATGAGATCTGAAATCCATGGAAATAAAATCAAAAAAATCGTAATCAGATCAAATGAAATCATAGAAATAAGAATTTGTTGTCTACAAAGCAGTAATATTGATTATTCCAGGCAACGGCTGCTGTCGATGACGGAGACAAGGTTTCCGTTATTTCACGGCCACGGCAAAGTGTCTGGCCTGCTGTCCCTATGGAAGAAGCTTTGGGGTTGCTCGAGAATATGGAAGTGTCCACTTTTGTGAAGTATGTTCCTGTTGCAGCCGTGAGAGTTGGTGAGATTTTAGTAATAAAGTAAGTAACAGGTGAACCGGCTGTGGTGGAATTCCTCGTCATTATGAATAATCACTACATGAGAAGATTGCAGGACAAGTACTTGCGGAACGCATTGTCGCCCATTCTGATGTTCCTGAAGTTCGTACTTCTATCAAAGACGGTTACGCAGTGATAGGTGAGACATCATTCGATTCCTCTCCTTATGAAATCATAAGCTTGGTAACGATTTACTCTAGTTGCGCGTTCCTTTTGAATGGGATGAAACGCTTTTGACCTCACTAGCACTTTTAACTCTTCACCTTCGAACGCAACTGCGCGGAACAACTTGAGCTGAGAAGGCAGAGTGCCCCGGTAGTGTAATAGGGAACAAAACCACACGGAAAGCGGAAACGGCGAGTTCGGATATTCCGTCCCATAGGTTCGACTTTTGCCCACCAACCCACATTTCTTGCGATAACTCCCATTGCGACGTCGAACAGCAGTTTTCTAACAATAACAGCTTTTACCTTCCTTCCACAAATAATCTATACTTGGGGAATTAATCAAAATAATCTTGAATTCCAAAACAGTAGGCGGAAAAGAAAACTCGGCTACAAGCCGGAGAGTCATGTGCGCATCAGTGTTTCTGTCAGATTTTCTTCCTGGCAAAGCCTGCATACGGAAAAACTTTGATTGCGTTGAATTAAGTCCGCGATAAAAATCCATTCTAGAAATCGACTCAGTTGCATTAAGGTGGCTTGGGGAGCAGAGTTGGTGAAGAATAATGCGTGTGTGTTGCCACCGCTTTGGTATATATCCTCCCCAAAAGCTTAGCGACGCTTCGCGAGAAGAACATCTGGGATATTCATAAAAAAACTGGAAGGAACAGAAAAGAACACTCCAGGATAAGTTCCCTCGTTCACGGGTCAGACACCAAGTAGCGGAGCAATCGCACACATCAGCCAGCACTCAAAAATGACCTTGTCGTTTACCTGTGGCAGTGGCTGTGACCATAATTGCCGTTGCGAATTCGCGTGCCTTTTGATGTGTAAGACACAACAATTTAGGTGGTTGCCTAGGAATAGAAGCAGCGTGCCTACATAGTAGGGAAAACCGGCAAACAAGCGAAGATGCAACGGCCAAAAACCTGCAATAAAGCCTTCATTCTGCACCTGCAGAGGATTTTCGGACACGAGTTTTCCGTTGCATCGAGTCAGAAGCGCTCCGTGTGCGGTACCACGCATGTATTCAAACATCCATGTAAACAACGTTTCATATCAATTCTATTTCATAAATGAAGCAATAAGAGCACCAGAGTCGATGCAATGCCACGTGTGGGCGGGCAGGTGTAGTGGGCGTCCTCGGTCGGACATGTTGCGCTTGATAGGGCGAGTAAGGGTGCCTTCGTTGAGAAAGTCGCCCGGCAATGTCTATTCCGGCGCCCCGAGTTCTGTTCTGCTAGACCGTCTATCCTCCATATTTCAGATTTACAACGTCTCACTTGCCGTTAAAGTGCATGAATTAAAGGCAGCGTCCGCGATCAACCAAAGTGAAAAAACCCTCCAATGAAAACGAACGCGGAGTTCGCAACCATAGCGGATATCCCACTCTTGCGGCTCGAAATGTATTGATTGACGAGGGCGGAGTCAACAAGGCTGAGCTGACGCCTCCTTCCCTGTTAATCCCGCCCCGACTGGTTAACAGTTATCAGTGCTTGCTGGCATTGATAAACGCTAAGTTTCTGGAGTTCCGAGCCGGCGACGTGTATTGGAGAACTCACCAAAGGTCTGCGAAACTCGTCCACATGCCTTAAATTTCGTAGGGTCTTATTTCACGCTCTTCCACACCTTTTTCCTACTTTTTTTTGATTAGTGCTTCATTGGCCACCTGTTCTAACAAATTTGACCCCCTACGAGATACCTGCCAAAGCTCCATCGCGGGCGCGTCTTAACGTTCTCAACCATTTTTTTTTCACATAACACACTATCGCTAGCTAGAAGTGGTACAAAATTAATTTAGCAAGTGACCCGATAGGTCTTCGTAAAGTCGTTGGGTCATCGACTGCCGGTTCACCGTATCCAGGCTTGGTCTCTTCCGGTGAATGTGTCCGTGTCAGTACTGGCGCCTCAGTTCCTGATGGAGCAGACGCTGTAGTGATGGTCGAACATACGAAACTCGTTGAACATGATGTTAGTAGGTTGTACAGGAATATAGACTCCTTGGTTTCCTTCCTTTGAAGTTTCATCAGAATTTCTCTAGACGGATATTCTGGTCAAATAATTTTTAGGGAGCTGAAGAACTTATAGTAAGTGTGGAAGTCAACGTGAAACCTGGACAGGACATCCGGTAGGCGTCCTTTTCAACTATTGTAGTCATGAGTTTAACAGTTTGATGGGGAAGAACGTAAAATACTCCCTGTTTTGCATTTTTCTGCCCCGCTCGATTTCTTTTCACTCAAAAGAGAGAAGTGGTGAAAGAGAGTAGTACTTCCACTTTCATCATTCTTAAGCAAGTTTTGTGCTTTGAGCTGTCTTGGCACGGGCGCCAGGCCTTCTCGCGGCAAGTGTATGTGACATATGTATTCACTGGGTCAAACTAAGCCCGCAAACTGTTTTGGCCATCAACTCAGCAAAAAAAAAACTGCGATCAGAATGTGGTTTCAGCAATAAGTTCAAATGGACCTAAGGACCTGAAAATGATGACCATTATATTTGTGGCCACTTTTGTTTTCATTGCTGGCGTTTTGTGAGCTCTCTGGTCTCTTCTCCTTGGTGAAAATATCGATTTCAGTATGCCTGGGAGCGACATCAAAAAGGGAGAACTTCTCCTAGATTCTGGATGCACACTTGGTTCGGCGGAAATTGGTGTTCTTGCTGGAAGCGGAAAACGTTCAGTATTGATGTACAGAAGGCCCAAGGTCTGCGTCATGTCGACAGGCAATGAGGTGGGGCTTCAGTTTACTTTGGTTTTTTTTTGTTTTCGCACCACGTGAAGTCCAACCTTGTTTAAAGAGAATTGCGAACATGACATTCAGTTACAAACCAGTAGTCGCTAAGTGATTCTTTTGTGAAGAAAAGGAAACAAAAAAAACATGTATTACAGAACTCCCTGGAGGAAGACCCCTCTCCAGACCTCCTCGTTTTACGGGCAAAGCGAGGTGTTGTCGTCCACTGTCTAGCTCACTAGTCGTTTCTTCTCGTCACCAAATGTCAATACTATCTAGCAGTGAAAAGGAAAAGATGCTTTGTGAAAACTTAACTCGTGAGAGAATAGCCTTTGAGCTTTAATGGGCGGGACATTAGGGAGGCGTCAGAAATGTGATTCATGAGGACCGCAGCGCCTTCGTTACCTACGGTGAAGCCGCAAAGTGAGACAGTACTGCAGACCAAACTGCTTAGAAGAGAAAACGCCCACGAATCGGTTGTGCGCGGAACTCTACTCCGAGATTAATTGATATGGTCTTGCCTCCAAAAAAATTTCAAAGTAGAAGGTGCCCACAAGTGCTTTGCCAAGTGCTCAGAACGGGCCAAAATGTCACTTGCATGAAAGTATCGTGCTAGATGCGTGAATACGTATCACGTGAAATTCTAATGCTATGCTAAGGTTTCATTAGCGATTGATACGCCAAGATGTTCCGCGTCACATTCGTGATACAAACCGCCCTCAGTTGATTGCACTGTTCAGTTCGCTGGGATTCAAGGCGATTGACGCAGGAATTGCTGTAGATAGGTTCGTGGACTTGTGGTTATTGCCGAAAAACAACAGCGTAATGGGCAAGACAATCGCTCATTAATCCGTAATGCTCTCGCTAATGCGCCCCATTACCGCGACAATGGCAGTTTCTGGTCGAATGGGTCGACAGTGGACAATGTATACCCAGAGATGGCCCTGAATGTCTACGATGTCCTAGTTTAGTCAAGTCCGGTGCTCCAGTCGATGAACTAATGCAAATTAAGAAGAAACCGCACCAAATCGTCGCGCACGAATCGAAAAATCACAATTTCTTTGACCGTCTCCCCCATGACTGGCTCTCTTCACTTATTATTTTTTTTTTTATTTTGTTGTGTGTTTTCTTTCTGACGTTGTAATTTATTCTTTTATTTTTCCTATATATATATCTTTTTATCATTGCTCGTGACTCTGAGTGTGAGCAATGGGTGAATAAAGATTTGAGAACACGTGCTGATGAATGATTTGTTTCTGGCTTCAGGTTGTTTTTGGCTTATTCCTCTCCATTCTGTATTCACTGCAATATAAAGTAGATGACGCTGCTTTTTGCTTTTGCTTTTTTGTGTTTCTATTATATTTTATGGCGGGGGGGCGCTGTGCTGCACACTCTCACTAGCTTCTTCGACCTATTCTCTCTTAAAGCACATCCTCAACAGTTGGGAACACCTGATAGACTTTGACAGTTTTTTGTAAACGAAGCTCAGTCGCTATGCAAAGCTTCATAAAAATTAACCACACACCGAGCCATCAGCAGTGATTGATGGGAACCAGAAAAACGCCTCACTAAGCCGAACAACGCTCAAGAGACTTGGAACGAACCCTCACTTTGTTATGACGGCACATATCGTTTTTAGATCCATTTTGGTAGAGTCTGGATGAAGCCTGGACTTCCAACCACGTTCGCAACCGGTATAGTCGATGGCGAAAAGAAATATGTCTTTGCTTCTGCCAGGTTGGTTCTTTTACACGCATTCACAGTTATATGCATATGCATAACATTTGTGATGTTCAGGCAATCCAGTTTCTAGTTGGGTCACCGCTCAACTTTTTGCTGTACCATTACTGAGGAAGATCGCTGGAAATCCCAAAATCTTTCAGAACGTGTTGAAAGTTCAGGTATTGTTTCCAGCTGCATTCTTGTCATATCTGGCTGCAAGCCAGTCGGGAGAAAGTGAAGCATCTTCGTTTAAAGATATTTTGGCTTCGTTGTGTATTTTATACTATAGTGAGGATTCTCTCGACGATTGGGTGTCTTGAAACCTTGTATGTGTGCGGGGGAGGGGGCAATTAAAGATTCATTTTGCTTTCTTCTGATGTGTATACGCCTCAACCGAGGTAGTCCTTTCCGCAAGCATGGAGAATATATCACTTTCACAGCTTGAAAATACCTGGCAACAGACACCACTTGACCGCGACGAAGGCGATGCCTTACTTACTGCCGCGTTTCACACCAGGCGTTCATTTCTGAAGAGTCAGCCATTGTGCAGCTGTTCCGCTACTAGTTCTTTTCATTCCTAATGATGAAAGTGAGGTGTTAAGGGAAGAGTTCGAAATCAGCGAGTGAGTACTAGTTCGAACATAACCTTTTTCTTCGTATGCTGCAAGTTTGAATCGGCAGGGGGTCCTATTTGAGCATTTCAATCCTTGTTTTCTCCTTTTTCGTCACTATTGAGTGACTTATCTTTGAAGTTTGAATTACATGTCCCATAATTTTTTTTATCACGAGACGTGCTTTGATGGACTTCTTACCGAGATTAACGCTGTCCACATAGAACGAATTGAACGAAGGAAGAAAAAGGAAGTAAAGGAAGATCCGGATGGACAAATTGATTCGCATATCCGAAGCTTTTCATCCTTTGGGCTCAGGCAAAAGTCCTCATCTCCATCAGCTAGTCTGAGTTTCTGTTCACTTTTTTGAAGCCCCGGTTTGTCTGAGGAAAAGGCAGAGAGACCTTTCGTGTTTCGGAGTGTCTGATTCAATACATTGCTTCCCTTTTCTTCTAGGTGCACAAAGGTCTAATCAAATGTTCTTCAAGATTATTAGCGCTGAGGATAGGTTTGAATGTGCGCTTCACATGAAATTCTTGGTTTCATATCAATTTCCTCTTGGTAGCGCTGTTTTCAATTGATTGTCACAAGCGTACTTTTCACAAAACCATCGGGAAACATTCCAGTAAAGAGAAGTAAAATAGTGAAAAAAGCAGGTGGCTAGTTTCGCATCCTATCCAGACGAGCTACTGTATGTATGTATGTCGTTGAGCCCAAGGGGCAAAGGGAAGCTATCTCGTTCCTTCCCCGGTCAGCCGCTCGGGTTTGTTACATGCGAGAGACGGTCGATTGGCGCGATCATTTTGCCATTGACGTGTATTGATGGGTAAGTGGTAGGCACGGTGCGAGTCTACCAGAATGGACAACTCGTCCAAATTTCTGCATTATAAGGCCCAGGGGTTGGCAGCGCACCAAAGCAGTGGCCTTACTAGGGAGGTCGTTCAGGACGTGGAGCGCTTTTTGAAAACGGTTTTTTGCATGATGTGGGGTTACGTGCATGGAGTACCAAACTGGTGTTCATTTTTCCTGAACGCCTCTGGGAATGCCAAAAATGGAGTGAAAAAGAAGTCCATGGAAACCGACTGTTTTTGAGCCTGAATGGGCTCTAAATCACTCGCAACTTCGGCCAGTTGCTGCCTATAGGGTCCTTATAAAGGTACTGGTATCGATGAGAAAAGTAGTCGCCAATGGGGTCCTACTTGTGGCACGTAGTCCCCAATTTGGAGCCAAGTCTTTCTCCCACTGGAGTCGTTATGTACATTCGTTTGAGGGACTTGCAGGGCCATTCTGACGCCAGATTGGGTTGATGTCAAGAATAAGTGTCAGAATCGTGATCAGGACCATCGATTACCCCTATAGGCAAACTTTCGGCCAAAAAAATTTTTTTGACTTTTTTTGAGTTGTGATAGACCGACCATTTGGTCGTCGGTGATGACCGGAGACCCACAACTTTGGAGTTGCGATGACGTAGCGATGACGTGGTGGCCGCCGGGCAGCCGCATCGCGGATTTGGTGCTCATAAGGTCCATTCATACTTGGCATGGGCATGGGTGGCCGCAGAACAAGTGAAAAACCATCCTGGACATTTGTCGACCCCCACGACTTCTCGCTCAACGAAGATGTCGTCCTCCCCTACCAAGAGGAGAGACTCATCCGATTTCTTCATCAAATGCACCTGGAGGAATGATGACTATTTTGTTCTTTTTTTCGATGGCGTTTATGGTTGTTGCTAGTTTTTTGTTTCCGTACCACTGAATGAGGGTTTCGATAACCAGCAAAAGTACGACTTCAACAAAGTGACTCTTGAGCATAACCCAATGCACAGACTCAAAAAAGTCAAAAAAATTTTTGGCTGAAAGTTTGCCTATAGGGGTAATCGATGGTCCTGATCACGATTCTGACACTTATTCTTGACGTCAATCCAATCTGGAGTCAGAATGGCCCTGCAAGTCCCTCAAACGAATGTACATAGCGACTCCAGTGGGAGAAAGACGTGGCTCCAAATTGGAGATAAATGGCACTAGAGCTGAAAGTAAATGCCATAGTCATGATCAGGGCATCGAATAACATAAGCTCAGCTTTCAGACAAGTTCTTGCTTAATGGTATGTGAAATCGAAATTGCTGAATAGCACCGACTACGGGCTATAACTATTAGGATGTGCCTATAAATGGCAGATATCCGAGTAAAATTCATTAACAGACGTATATGGAAGCGACAACAACGGAAAATAAAAAATGCAAAAACGTGCAAGCCGAGGGGAGTCGAACCATCATCCCCATCCCCACTGCCTGCTTGGGAATCCTCCACGCTATCCACTAGGCCATCCGATCGTTGGCACAGGTACCACTTCGATTGGCTTGTTTCCAAATTGGCCGTCGACTCTTAACTACGTGCCACAAGTAAGGACCCCATTGACGACCTACTTTTCTCATCGATACCAGTACCTTTATAAGGACCCTATAGGCAGCAACTGGCCGAACTTGCGAGTGATTTAGAGCCCATTCAGGCTCAATAACAGTCGGTTTCCATGGACTTTTTTTTCACTCCATTTTTGGCATTCCCAGAGGCGTTCAGGAAAAATGAACACCAGTTTGGTACTCCATGCACGTGACCCCACATCATGCGAAAAACCGTTTTCAAAAAGCGCTCCACGTCCTGAACGACCTCCCTAGTTAGTTCCGATACCCATGCTACTTAACCAGGTCATCTCCTCACATGGGGAAATGCACTAGTTCAAAGTTTTGGACGAGTTGCACCGCCCAAAGGACGGTTTGTCCGGTGACATGTTTTGACGCTTCAGCGACAAATAAAGGATCGTCTTGAACGAATGTAGTGTAGGGCCGCTGTGGATTGGTGGGCTGTGAGGACGGGGGTCTGGGCGCAGTGCCAGAACCGTTCTCGAGGCCGTTGTTAACAGAGAGCGTGAATATGACTGTATCATTTCATTCGTATTACTCGTTTCCGTACCCCACTTTTTTTGTCGATGGCGCTCCTTGACAAGAAGGCAGAGAACGGCTTTGACGGCGTGACATATCATACTGCCTGACACGCCCAACCGTCCGCAGCGAACTAGACTATACATCCTTCACTATTCTTCCAAGAATAATAACAGCGTTGAGCTTTCAGAAGGAAGATTCAGTGGTAGTATGAGGTAGAAGACGGACATTGCCATCGTCGCGATTAAGTGGCATCGCTACTGCATGATTTTGAAGCCGCGATAGGTGCTATCCTAACGTGCTTGCGAACATAATTACTTGTCCGAGGCGTCTGCATCCCTCCAAGATACCTGTCAAACGTCGCAGAGCCTCTCTCCCCTCTCTTTTTTGGTGCGTTTTGCTTGTTCGCTCCCCCCCTCCCTTTCTTATCTTTCCAAAATGCTCCAGCCATTATTTGCAATGACAAGGCCTCTGTACCTCCAAGATATAGAATGTCCACTTGAGAACAGAAGCCCTGTACATATATGAAAAAAATCGTGGCTTTCATTTTCATAAAATTTCGGATTGTACTTTTACAGACCTTCAAGCGATTTCGTTACTCTAGAGGACCGCCTCCAGCAAGATAATAGATCAGATAGATAGCTGACGATGTTGATATATCTCTGCTAAATATCAGCTTCCATTTGAGCTGACGTTTGCGACATGAAAAATTGTGTTTCTTCAGCTCGCGGAGGATCTTAACCTCGATCCACGCCCAGAATACATGAGAGCATGGTTGCAGCATGGTGGTGATATCCCTCTCGCTGTGACTACTGGAAACCAGATTTCGTCAAGGTAGAATTTCAGTTGCTAATCTTTGAATGGATTGTTTTTCCAGGTTTTTTCTTCGCTTTCCTTCTAGAAAGTGTTTCCAGACTTATGAGTCTTTCTGGTGCAACGGTTCTGCTGAGACTGCCGGCAAAGTCACCGCAGTGTTCAGTTTTACGAGCTGGAGAAATAGTGGATGCCCTTTGGCTGGGTCCCTTTTGAGATGTTCTACCTTCTTACTTTTACTTCCATGTGATTGTAGCTGTGGAACCATGTGCCAGTTCACATTGTTGTTTACCGTTAGGGAGGGCTGGAAGGCCTCCCGAGTCATTTATCTTTTATATGTGGAATCGCCTTCATTTATACATGTGCAAACAATTGTGATATTTTTCTAGTGGTAATCAGTAGCTAGTCTTGACATTTTATGGTTCGGCGACGAGAGGGGGGGGGAGGGCAGTTTGCACTTTCGCCGCTCTCCATGATCGTATACATTGCTTTACACTGACAGGTTTGCCATCGTGGGTCGACGAGCTGGCTCCAGCTTCACAAGAGTTCACAGGTTTCACCAGAGTGAGACTTGTAAACCGGAACTAGTGAAGCAGCGAAAGTGCAAAATGCCCCTCGTCGCCGAACTGCTCCCATTTTACTACTCGGTGTTTTTTTTCAGTCATCTTTGATACCTCTTGTAGTCATTATACCAGTGTGTTTTTGACACAGATCGATTTTGCTTATCGTATTTTGCCCAGTGTTTCTATGGATCTTTATCTTTCATCCCGGTATCATTCCAATGTTTCAGGTTGATAACTTTTCGGTGAGTCAATAAACGGCTACTATAGTGAAGTGTACAAATAATACATTGTGTTCATTCGCTTCGCTATCTAGTGTTTTTGTTCGTATATGTTTTTTTATTATGTAATGTTATTATATGATTTATTATTCTGTTAATGTTCGGTAATTTCTTTTAAGGATGACTTCGGAATCATTGACCAAGGATATCGAACGTGTACAGGAAAAACTGCGCGAATTGGATGGAACGATTGCGACTTTACGAGCTAATCGCCGAGATTTTGATATGTAGGTTTTTGAATTTGCTCAAATAGGGAGTCGATGTAAACGTTCTGGAAATAGAACCGTTGTTTAATTATTATGCTGTTTAGGGGAGGATTAGGGATCAAGCGTCGTGTTTCAAATGAAACTGGTTATGGTGGCGATAGATACTCCAATGGCAGGTGGGAATTCATTTTTATTTGCTTAGACCATTTGATGCGTTGATAACATGCGTCAATTTGTGACTCAAGTAGCCTAGTTAGGCGCAGTTCGGCGACGGGGGGGGCATTTTGCACTTTCGTTGCTCCATCAGTTCCGTTTGTATACCTTACCTGATGAAACCTGTGAACTCTGGAGCAAGCTCATGGAGCCATAAACCTGTCAACTGAAAAGACTCTCTAGATGGGTCAACACGTTGATGGGAAGTAACAAAGGCGCTAAATGCCCTCTTCCCCCTCCGTCGCCGAACTGCGCCGTCTAGTTACCTACATGGAATGGGTTGAAGGCGCACTGTACACTAACCTCCGCAAACTTGTTCCTTGCCTTGTGAGAGGTGAACGGGTCCGCGGCCGCATTAGCGTGCCACGTTCTACCCGCGGAATTGCGCGAGAGTGGGACTGGAAACTGGTGATACCCTGATGCCCTCTCCCGATTCTGCTTGCGCTGCCCAGGCAGGGCGAGGGCAACAACAATTCTAAAACAACGGACAAAAGTGCCTTCAACTCGACGAAAGCGTAATTGCACGCCCTCTGACGTTGGCTCTGAGTGGTCTCGATGCAAGAGCAGCACATTCACGGAAGCGCTGGGCGGAGTATAGGAAGGACCACCGCGGTACGCATACATCGCAGCTCCGTTTCCTTGCTTTTTCATGAGAGAAAATGGTACGCTACTGCAGCTTTGGACCCGTTCACCACTCTTCCAGTTTTAACTAGTTGGTTTATGCAAACTCGGAGTTACTGTATGTAAATTACCACCCGGTATTTTGGTCCTGAAATAAGAGCACACGATCTTGGAAGGGTGAAAATGAACGTTTAAATGTGTGATTCCTTGATAACATTCGTTTCAGTGGACGCATTACGGTGATTAGCGACGTATCCCCCGGATTCAATAGGCGACGAATAGAGTAGGTTTTATTATAATATTTTTTAGGTTTGGAGAATGAACACCGAAGGTGTCCGTGGGTAATTTTATTAAACTTCGACAAGGGAAGGATACTAACTCGTCCTGGCCATTCAGAATGAGATGTATACTCCTAGAAGCGTCTTCGGACGCTGATATCAAATCTGGCTTCCAAATCTGCTAAACGATTCTGGGTGAGGAGTTACGGACCTTTTTTGCTACTGTGCTTAACCATTGCGGTGCGCCCCCCTGCTTATGCTTCGCGCTTGTAAAACACTCGTTCGTGACCCAACCGCCATCGTGGCTCGGTGGCGCAGTAGGTAAGTGGATGGACTCATAGTCGTGCGATGGGGGTTCGAGTCCTTGATGCATTTCGTAGTTTTGCTTTTTCTTGAAACGTGTGCTCAACACTTGGGAAGTAGTTTTGCATACCTGTCCGACCACCAAGACAACTCCCTGCTCTTTATTAGACCCTATGTCTGATTTTTGAGAAGCGTGTTTCATTTTTGAGAGACTTTCGGTGAAAAGATCACATACATAAAGTGATTGTAAATGGCAGCACTTTTATTTAACTCATATATTTTTGTAATTAATGCGACTTTTTTCGCACTCGAACGGTAGAAGGCAATGGCTTCATTTCATAAACCACACGCATACTTGATATGGACTTGTATAAAGTGGAGTCGCAATAAGGTGAGAGTGTGAGAGTGAGTACCTTCTCTATCGCGACTGTTACATCGCCAAAAAGCTGACGGTATAGAAATCTCTTGGCTCCTAGGAAACTTTCTTCATAGCATCACACGTGATACAAAGGAGTAAATCACTTGATAATCACATACGAGCTATCTTCCTGCACAGGTCCAATTACAAGGTTGTCGTACAGTGTGTCGAAAATTGTAATTGACATTGAAACATTGTACCCCAGAAAACTCAAAAAACCTTTTCCCTGCAAATAGATACATATAAGTTGTATATTCGATACCCAGTCAGAATATCACATTCGTTTCGAGGTGCGCTGGAGTCATTTTGCGCCATTCTGCGCCAAGGTTGGCAAGACCCTCACACAATCGGTCACTTTTTTCACCAAAGTCGATGAAAACTTGCATATGGGGGTTAATTGAGGTCCTGATTACGGAACCAGCATTCGCGCTAGGCGCTGGTGCGATTTGGCGCCATTATGCGCCAATTTGGCGCCATATTGGCGCATCATGGCGCCAAATCGCGCCAACGCTGGAAACCTGTGTGATATTCTTAATCAGGACCTCAATTAACCCCCATATGCAAGTTCTCATCAAACTTTGGAGGAAAAAAGTGTTGGCGCCAAATTGATGCATGATGCGCCAAATACGGCCAGCGCAAAACGATGGTATTTATAAACCGTCGATCAGGGCATAGAATTCAGCGAGAAAAATTTTTTGAGCTTTCTGGGGTAGGAGTAGTTCAACAGTGCCTAATATTACTTTAGTTATGGTAGGCACGGTCGCAGAGGTGTTGGCTGATATTGTGTGCGTGGGTGATTAGAGCTACCGAACATGTTGAAATCTTTCGTTGCCCACACACGTTGTCATTTCTATATGATGGTGAAATTCGAGAACATGGTATTGTCATGCAGATATGCATGTGTATTTTTTTGGTCACTTGGCATGACCGATTAGGTAGGAAGTGTAATTTTTCACCACGAAAATCGTTCGCGGGGCTCAATAAAGAGCAGGGAGTTGTCTTGGTGGTCGGACAGGTATGCAAAACTACTTCCCAAGTGTTGAGCGCACGTTTCAAGAAAAGCAAAACTACGAAACGCATCAAGGACTCGAACCCCCATCGCACGACTGTGAGTCCATCCACTTACCTACTGCGCCACCGAGCCACGATGGCGGTTGGGTCACGAAGGGTTTACAAGCGCGAAGCATAAGCAGGGGGCGCACCGCAATGGTTAAGCACAGTAGCAAAAAAGGTCCGTAACTCCTCACCCAGAATCGTTTAGCAGATTTGGAAGCCAGATTTGATATCAGCGTCCGAAGACGCTTCTAGGAGTATACATCTCATTCTGAATGGCCAGGACGAGTTGGTATCCTTCCCTTGTTAGTTGGCAGCTCGCAGTCACACAAGTGTGATGTCTAATGTTAGAGTATTTTGAATAGAACGGCTACAAATGTAGAAGCGTAGTGTTATTGGGCGAGTAACCTATACACGGTAGTGGTCAGAAGTTTGATTGTGTCATTATAACGCCCGTTTCCTCTTGAAACAGGCTTGATGCAGACTCCCTTGTTATTACCTTTAAGAGACATTCGTTCTATTTCTAAAAATGTTGTGCATAGCAGGCTATTCTTTTGGGCGACAAGTAGCCCTTCTTAACCTGTGTTTTGTTTTTGAAGGGATGAGTATTGTGAAACGTAAAGCAGCTCTATAACGTTTTTGCTCAATGTTTTGTAATTATACTAAATTGAATCTTCCGCAGTTAGAAAAATACAGTGGATATTGGTGCAGTCAGTTGGAGCGGGTCGGGAGGCATAGAATGAGCCTAACCGCAGTGTTTTCACATCGGTTGTTCTTCTCCACACAGCTAAAAATTAAAAAGCCGAAAAAATTGTCGTAACAGGGATAGTTTATATCAGGGCAAACGCGTGACATACGAACTTGCAAAATATTTGGTCAATCCAGCGATGTAATTTCTCCAGACCATTGTATTCACATGGTTCGCTTCCTTGGCGGCGCTCAGTATGAAAAGGAAACAAAAGTTGCAAAATTCTGGCGCTAGTGCCATGCTTATTCATCTTGAAATTCGGTGGCCCTGACAACCGCGCTGTATCGGAATTCCCGTTCTGCTTGAAATAATCCAAGTTCCTGGCAACAGAGTGGAAGAGGAAAATGTAATAGAATAACTGGACCAGTGAAAATGCTGGCGTATTTGAACTCTTGACAATTCCACAAAATCACTGCGCTTTACTTGAAGCACATTACCTGTCTCTTAATATTGTGCCTTATATCTGGAGAGTTTTCACAGAAAAAAACTTTTTGGCATAATGCAGGATGGTACTTGGTCTAAAGTGGTGGCAAGGGGTGCTACATAGTGAAAGAAAAGATAAGAGAAAGCGAAGTGAAACAGTCAAAAACTTGCGAAAAAACCTGTAACCTGCTCCACACTGCAATTTACACAAGCCTTTTTAATTTACAATAAGCAATTTCGGACGAGCTTCCCGTTGGCATCGTGCCAATAATAGCTACAGTAGATACGGCTGCATGTATGTATTCATATGCTTGTAGCACATCGCTTCATATCAATCCCTTCGCTTCATACTGTACTTCTCGATTGAAGAGATACGGGCATCAGGATTGGTCGGACATTTGTGGGCGGGCGAGCGAGGTAGACTTTCGGGTCCGTATGTTGCAACTTGATAGGGCGCTATAGGTACCTTCCATGAAATGTAGCGCCTATTCAGAAGGGCCGAAATCTGTCCTGCTAGACGTATTAATCCTATACGTATTGGGGATTTATCGCGCCACTTGTCTTTAACATGAACAGCTAAAAGGCTCAGAATCCTATCATTGAGACCTCGTCTTTAAGAATGGTACGTAGTGAAGAGCGGCCCAACAAACGACAACGTATGGATTACGATGATGTGGATGATGACGAGGATCGTGATATTCGTCCAAAAAGGTTAGCAGAGTGAAGGGAAAAATTGTGGATGTAATTTATGCTTAGAACAAAGTCAGTTAATTTAGGACAATAGCTTCTACGGTAGTCATGCCATCGATCGAAACGAAGAGTCGCGAGGAGAAAATCGAGGAAATGAACAAGACTGAAAAGAAAGAAGTTACAACTAGGTACAACTCCAGCTCATCGAAGTTGCATCCATTTACCTCGTTGAAATTCGCTTTCACTTCAGAAATCGTCGTATGTTCTCGAACCTCCTCATGGGCACGCTCACTCGTTTCCAGAGAGACGAGAAAAAAGTTCAGAATGTTGAAAAAATTCAGGTACATTGAGCAGAACGCAAAATACCTTTTTTTTCAAGTTTAGAAAGCCGTTAAGCACATCTAAGCATTGAATGTTCAGGCTGAAAAACAGCTTGAAGTAGAAAAACGTCTCGAAGACAAAAAACGCGAGGATCGCGAAAAGGTTATTACTACTTGTACAATTTCTTCATCCTTTTTCAATTTTTTGATCAGTGGTGGACGTTGGAGGGTATCACAGATTTTAATTCAAAAGATGCCTTTTAGTTAATGGCCGAG